TTTATTTGGAAATTTTAGGTTATTTCAATAAATATTATTATTATTTTACAAATGTATCTTTTAATTTAAGAGTAATGTTCTCATACTCACGATGTGCACATGTTAATATACTCATCGTTTATGTGGCATGCAATCATTGGGGATGTTAATATGTTCAAAAAATACATCATCAATGTGTGCATGTCATATAATACATGATTGGTTCAAGAGCCATAGGAACCATGTCAGAATTTCTCCATTACCAACGGTACTTTACAACTCTCCAGTTAAGGCCACAAAACAGAACTTGGCTTTGAGTCCAACATATGTGGCCCATTTCAATAAAATGTCTACTGGTTTGAGGCCCAAAAATGTTGCTGGACATGAAAGCAAGCCCAAACCAGTTCAACAACGATTTTACAAGGCCATCATTCAGAATATGCAATGATATACTTAAACTTTGCGAACAACAGTAACTGGCTACTTTGCATATAGATTCAAATAAAAACGTGACAGCTTTTTTTTAGGTGAACTCAATGAAAAAAAAATAAAATAATAATAATAATAAATAAATTGCAATCTAGTTTAGATTACATAAGTTATATTATTAAATTACATATGGCCTATGTCATTTTGTTTTCCAAATAAGGAGACAGCATGCTTTCTAATTACAACTAGATATAAATTTAATAGATATTTAATAAATTAAATTAGTGATTCGTAGTTTTACCTTTCAACTTTTGGTGCTACTAAATTCCAAATTTTATCATTCTTATTAAGAATTTTAAAATTATAAAGTACTTTATTAGCTTAAATTATAAATATTTTTCAAATTTAGTAACTTACTTATTTATTATTAATATTTTTAGATTCAAATTAATTATCTATTTACGATCTTCGATTTGACATATATACGTATATATATATTGTATATATAAAATAAAACAATGTCCTGTCTACCTTTATAAAATAAAATCAACTTTTTTTTATCCGTTAAAAATAGTAAAATTAGTATTTATTAATAAAATATATTTATATATCAAGCCTATTATATGATATAAGTTTAAAATTTGCTGTAACATAAGACAGAGCGATATTTTCCATAAAGATAATAATTTAAATTTTTAAGTAATAAATTTAAAATTAAATAATTTAATAATAAATTTAAAATTAAATAATTTAATTTATTTTAAATAAATAAATTTGAGTTGTTAAGGAATGTTCTGACTTGGTGTATATTTTTGTAAGCGAGACTTGTGTATGGTCTCGAGCTATGGTTCCATTTGCTTCAATAAGGTGAAAATGTGGTACAAATGTTTGTAATTCTTGGCATTAAAAAGGGTTATTTGTATTTCTTGGCATTAAAAAGATAAATGTAGCATTGGGGATAATATGGAATTACAAATGTTTTAACTTTTAATTCGAACTCAAATTCCATAAATTGTATACAGCCTTGGCCAGTTCTTTTCAATTTAAAGTAACTTGTAATAATTAATAAAAGACAATCTAATGTCATCTTTTAACTTTGGTAAAAGTGGCTAAACCAATTAAAAAAGAACAAAATTGCGTCCGTAAACCAAATTTCCACGAAGAGATTCGAAAAAAGTTCAGGGCTGCGTTTGACTCGTGGAGTAAATATCATTGAAAGTATGGGTACATTGAAGTGGTAGTGCCTATATGTGGTGCCGTGTCGAGGTCTCTGACGAAGACGCTCGTTCCGTGATAAAAATCGTGAGCAAGTTTTCAGTGTGCCTCGGGCACGAGGCTGAAGCTTGGCATCACGTATTCACCTTGATGGTGAGGCAGTCGGAGTATGCTAGCAATACACCAAACGACCTGTTGGGGTCTTATGTATTGTTAGGTACGAAGTAAATTGTTGATGCTCGTGGGTATAGACCAAGCCGGACTGGGTCCTTTGCAAGAATATGTATGCCTGAGCTCGGGCAGGATTGATCACCCTCCCATGTAAGAAGGTAGACATATGAGCATAGGGCGAATCGGATTTGGTCCTGTATGTGAGTGTATGCGTTTCGAGTATAGGGCGATAAGGCTTATGCAAGCGGAGTCGAATTTCGGAGAGGATTCCCGGGACTCATGATTGGAAATTTTCGTTTGAGTCTGTCGTTTTACCTTTGGGATGCGTGTTTTTTAGTATTTCTGAGGACGAAAATCATTTAAGGAGGACAGATTGTAGCGCCCGTGCGATTTATAGAATTTTCTCGGATTATTCTATTTATCGAAAATTATTTAAGAGATTATATTTTTAGTTTGGTCGTGATACCTACTTAAATTATAAGTTGAAGTACCTATTCTTTTATTGTAAACGTTTGTCGTTTGGCGATTTCGGTTTAATCTGTAAATCGGATATAACCCGTAGGATTATTGGATTTTTTTGAACATACAAAAAAAATAGCTCTGATGCGATGTCAAAATGAAATACTGGAAAAACCGATTCATACTCAATCATGATGATCAGTGATGGCTCAAAGACCAATATATAAACAAACCACTAGATTAGGTTACAAGAGAATAAATATGAAAACTAACTCATTTACAAAATAAGGCAATTGATTAATTCCCTCAAAATAGAGTCCTAAAAGTTACACAAAATAATATACATATATACACAATAACATATTAGGTTCACGAATCAGCAGACATATTTTTATTTTAAGAACTATATAATGTGTAGTTCTACCTCAAACCAGCTCTTCCAGATCTCGATATGAGGTGTACCTAACGTTAAACAACGGGCGATCAAATCAGTAAGGTGATATTGAAAACTGTATGAAAATGCATTGAAAGATTGTATAAAGAATGTTTGACCTTTACGTTCTCTCAATTTTAACTATTTATAAAAGATTATTAGCTTCTTCGACAAGCCTTTGCCTTGCCCTGCCCAACTGTTCTTTCTGCCCAAAAGGGCTCGTCTATTATTAGGCTACCCGTAGGTCTGTTCGTTGGTTATTTAGCTTCATTTTTGTCCGTCCGATTATCTGTCTCTTTTGTTCATCGCCCTAAACCTGTCCTTTGTGGATAACATGGACTCGACCTAGGTCGATGCTCTTCCTAATCAGGTCGTACCCACTATCAAATGTGCTCGCTACCATATGGCAAGCTCAATATAGTCCGAGCTCCTTATTTGTCTGAGCTATAGACATATCTGTGTTATCCGAGTTGCCATTCTACCGAGCTATAAACATACCCCAATTATATGAGCTACCTAATTGTCGAGCTATAGAGATACCCTATTTATCCGAGCCACCTAACTGAGTCCTCACGACATATAAACCATTCGACCTAGCTAGTATTCGGCCTACAATCCGAGGTAACTGTCGTTGGTTCAACTGAGCTATTCTTATATGCTATGCCACTACACATATTTTTTTATTTAAGTTTTAAAATATAGCATTTTATAATACAAATGTATACTTTAAACGAAAAAAAAGGTCTTCCTATCATTGTGTTCAAGTTTTAGATTAGCTCAAGAACATATAGTTTGACATTTGAAAACTATCAAAACAACCTCCTTTGGGATTATAATAACACTAGACTGGGGCAATTTAATTAAAAATGGCCACTTTGTGGAAAATTTGCACAAAAGTTACCCTCAAAAAACACCGACTTTGAAAAATTATAAAAAAAATAATTATTGAATTAAATTTATACATACGTCTAACAATCTACACAACTTGATTAACAATGCAATTTGATCAAATTTGATTAGAGCAATTTAATTAAAAAATGCACCTTTTTTTTTTGGTGTGGAAAAATAGCACAAAAGTTGCCCTCGAAAAACACCATCTTTGAGAAATATAAAAGCTAATTACTGAATTAATTATAGGCAATACGGTACATGAAATTAAGCATAAAGATGTTAGACGTATACATAAATTAAAATGACGTTGTGCTATTTTTCCATACCAAAGTCCAAAAGTCGTGATTAATTTGCAATTTCAATAAAGATGGTGATATTAGGCGCAATTTTGCCTTTAATTTATGTATACGTCTAACATCTTTATGCTTCACCGGGGCCCACACAATCGGTGGGGTCTCATTGCACATCATTTTCGGACCGGGTCAAACATTTTTTAGTCCAACGAGCGGCCAAGATCCGACTATAGACTGCAGGGTCGGGTCAAGTTGGTGCTAATAATATGACAATGCTTGGTCAAATAAGTATGATTGATTTTAATTAGTTACAAATATTACACTTAACAAGGACGATTAATTTATGATGACGAGAATACGCGTATTTCTTTTTTTTCTCGTCTATTTAAATTAACTATGATCCCTACTTTAATTATATTATTTAAAAAGAAATTAAATTAATTTATATGTTATGAAAAATGATTTTCTGCCTACTTATTATCAAAAGGTAACAAGAGTAGCAAAATTATTATGTCGAATGTCATGATTGTTATTGTATTTATTTATAGCTATGATATGATCATTTACTATTCACACTCATGTTAGCACTGTTACGTGATTATTTTATTAATTTGAATATTAAAGTTTACCCTTAATTATGCGCTAGCACACACCAAAAATCTGAAACTCGCACCAATTTACGCACACAAATACATACGAGTGTGAAATAGATAAAATAAAATAATGTGTTACTAGTACAATACTCTTACACGAGTGCTGAGTTAACAAATATATGATAAATATTATTGATAAAATAAATTTTTTATTCAAAAATTTTGATAAACTAATTGATGAAAAAAAGAGGAATAAACACTGAAAGTGATTTGTAAATCCTAATTTAGGAGAAAAATATGAGAGAAAATTATAATGTGGTAAGATTGTTATTTGAGAAAATGTGTATTAAGAAAGAAAATAATAAAATTAAATATACAGTTACCAAGTTTGAAAAAAAAAGTTACTTATGTCTGATAGCAGGTCTAACTCAAGCGCAAAAATGAATATATATAAATAACATTACGAATCATAGATTTTCGTCATGTCAGCATCCGAAGCGCTAGAGTCTGTCACTTAGTCTTAACATGTTTTGAATTAATGTATAGCGAGGGATATATACTAGAATTTGAAAATATTACAAGCGTGAGGAGCTCGTCCGAACGAACGAGCAACCTACCAAGACGACCAAGAGATCGTGTAGATCAGATGACAGAATGGTTCTAAGGACTCTCGAATGACCTATCACTTGGACGATCGAGTCTTTTGACGACCCAAAATATCCCGGCAACCTAATCAAACAAGGGAATTCAAGGAAGCTCAACCTCGATGGTCGAAACACAATGGTGGGTCCATATATGGACCAGCCTAGGCAATTGCCTAGGCTAAATTTTTTGTGCTAACTACATAATTCATATAGTTAACACATGATAATTAAAAAATGTATTTAATATTTATAAAAATATAAAATACAAGTTTTATTTTAATATTTTAAGTAATTCTTACAAAATAATATTATTTTTCATTTAAAATGATACACCTCACCTGTCAGATTTGACGGTATTATGTTACAATATTTTTGCTACTTATATCATATTTGGATTTAAAGTCATGATGTGTAAGGGGTGATTGTTTATGTTTTGAATAGTAAAAAATCTAGAATTTTATAACTGTGGTTAATTTTAAGAAAAAATAGTATGGTTAGTTGTTAGTGGATATATTAAAATAGTATTTAAAATAAAATAGTTAGAGTTGATTTGATGTAAAAGTAAGAGAAAATGATTGGAAGTGATAGTTAGTTAAAATTATGTGAGTAGATGAATAGTGAATTAAAATTGATGTGATATGTAATAATGATTTGTTGATGTTATTTAATTATATAAAAATATTGGGAGATAGTGTGGTTGAGTTAAAGTTGAGTTAAAATTTGAATTTGAGTAAAAAAAATAACTGTACAAATGGTAAACAATCACCCCTAAGCATTTCATTTTGCTAATAATCACCTCTTAAGCATTTCATTTTGCTAATAACTATGCCATATGGAAAATCAATGTATAGGTATTGTATAACTATTAGAAATTAACATGGAGCACTAACCTTCAGCCAAAAAAAAAAAAGAAAAAATCAATTGATATCATCGTTCTTTAAAAAATGGGATCGTCAAAATAGTGAAAGCCCATCAAATACAGTGAAAAATGAACATAATGAATTTTATTCTGTAAAAACTCATCGAGCACAACCCTCATCGAATATTTGAAAGAAAATATTATGTTATTTTTATGAAAATAAGTTTTTAAAATTCAAATCTGGTCTACTCTTAATTTCTGGATCGTCTTTGGTCTTAACCTTATGTTGTGCCTTAATTACCTAGTTGCAGCAACCTAGCATACAATACAACAATACTACTCTATAATACTATATTATATTATAACTAAAAGTGTGTATCAAAGTCAATAAAAACGCATACTCCCTTTCATAATTTCTTGCATGAGAATGAATATTGGCGTCACAATTCAAAATGACATGATTTATAACATAATACCTTTAGCCCGGTTGAATTTCGTGTATATATATGCAGACGATCTTTGGAATGAAACCAAACCACAACACTCTTTAATTAACAACATCATAGATAACAGAAAATACATATAGTTGGTATAAAATGAGTTCTAAGCTTATTAAAGCTCTTATTCCATTGCAATTTGTGCTTTTCATTGTGTGCATTTCGAAGTCGTCTCGTGCGCTGCAGGAATCATTTTATGAAAAACGATGCCCAGGCGTCAACGTGTTGTCTGTTGTAAAGGACGAAGTTACGAGTGAGTACAAGAAGGACCAAACTATTGCTCCTGCTTTACTAAGATTGCATTTTCACGACTGTTTTGTCCGGGTAAGGCCATCACATTTTAACTCCAACACTAGTTAATGGTGATATATGTCATTGCTTAGAGGATTAAATTATATATAACTTCAATTCTTTATTTATTCTTTTTTTTTTTTTTTGCAG